TGCTTACTAGATTTAGACGTAGGCCTAACCTTTAGAGGAGCAGTAATATTTAGTGACGACAAGCAGATATGATTGAAGTGATCGACCAGATTGTTGGTGTTGGAATCAGACAGGTGTTGGCTTTGGCTCTGGAAGAATGCGCAAAACTTTGAAACACTTCGTTCATTAAAAATGCGAGAACACACGGAGCTTGGTGAGGCGGCATGAGTAACAGGCGAATCGCAGCTAAAAACAATACATCTGTGGTCAGATATGGTCATGTCCACTAATTCCACAGAGGAAATGTTGACACCCAGGGTAAAAACCAGTGTATGACCACGGTTATGTGTTTGCCCTTTGACATGTTGTTTGAAGTTAAAAGAAGTGGCCATATTTAAAAAGTCAGTTGCATTAACATTGGTGGGGTCATCAACATGAATATTAAAATCGCCACAAAGAACAATTCTGTCATAATTTAAAACCAGAGTAGATAAAAACTCAGGAAGTTCTGATAAAAATCCTCCAGGCGGTTTTTGGGGGCGATAAATTATAACAAATATGATAGGTTGCAGCCCTCCAACTTTAAGAGTGAGAACTTCAAAGGAGTTCATCACAGCGTACTTAAAATTTTTCCTATACAGGCTCACTAGCCCACCACCACGACCACTGACCCTCGGTTGACTAAAACAATCATATTGAGGCGGACACAGTTCAGCTAGCTGGCTATAGTCATTCATCTGCAACCAGGATTCAGTTAAAAACATAAAATCTAGATTTGCAGACAAGATAAAATCATTTAAGATAAAAGTCTTACTTGAAAGTGATCTCACATTGAAGAGAGCCATTTTAAATGAGTTTGTTCTGGGTGCTGGAGTTGGTGCAGTTGTCCTAATCCTTAAGAGATTACTAATATTTCTGTGTGGGATGTGCACGTTTTGGTTTACTGGTCTATGCGTGATGATGACAGGAATAGAAGTCTGTGGAACAGCGCTGGGAGCAGACGGCTTTACATGCCAGCAGGTGGAGACAGTTGTTTGTGGCAGTGAGCCAGAGATCTGTTCAGTGACCGGTGGTGTGTCCAGGTGTGCTGCATGAATGATTAGTCATTCACGTAAGTCATGTGTGGACCGCACCACATGCTGTATGTGCGCAGCTAACATTTCTGAGCCCCGTTTGTTTGGGTGAAGTCCGTCTGTCTTAAAAAGAGACATTCTTTGCCAGAAAATATTAAAATTATCCACATAACACACACGATGAGCCCTGCAGGCGGACTGGAGCCAGTCGTGGAGGCCAAGGAGTCTACTGAAGCAGCCAGCACCGCGACCAACTGTGGGAATGGGACCAGAGATAAAAACGGACTTTCCACACTGCTTTAAAAAGTTAAAAAGACGGTTAAAATCTGATTTTGTCAGCTCAGACTGCCGAAGAGCTGTGTCATTTGTTCCGACATGGACTATCACTCTTGTGATGGAGGACGGGAGCGATGTGTCCCTTAGCAAGACACTTAACCCCTAGTTGCTCCAGAGGCGTGCGAACTCTGATATATAGCAATTGTTAGTCGCTCTGGATAAAAGCGTCAGCTAAATGAATAAATGTAATGTAGTAAATTTGGCTCTTAGTCCTTTAGTATCAGCTGATACTGAGTCTGATATTTTCCTGCATTATAGACCTGCAAAATGAATACTTTACACATCATTTTGATATGACTGACAACTGCATAGCTCTACATTAAGAAACTGTAGCTACAGTTTTACTTAAATAGTTGAATAGAGATGAATATAGCCTATTGTTAGTCTGGAGCTGTTGTGACAGAATATCAACCGCCTCTCCATTGTCAACAGGAACAAAATGCTGAACAAATTCTGTTTTCTACCAGCTGACCCCCTTAACACAAGCCATTATTGAAATGTATATCTTCTTCTGCCAACATGTTTGTAAAAAAACTCCCTGTGCAAACAACATTCTACTTCCTCCCCGAACAGGATCTGCCGGCACGTGCATCAGCCTACATGGACAACGCCTTACGACCGTTACATCAGTTACTGACTGACTCAACGGGGCTAGTCACGCCCTCTACGGCACAAGAGTGGCTGCGAGTTGCACTATCTGACTGCACACAGAGGTAAAATAACTCTCTCACTCTCACTCTCACACTCACTCACTCACTCTCACTCACTCACTCACTCACTCACTCACACTCTCTATCACACACACACACACACACACACACACACACACACACACACACACACACACACACGCACGCACGCACGCACGCAAATGAACTCTGCAAACATAAATAGACCCAGATCAGATACAGTACCAGAGTTGAAGAATTAAAACGTATGACCTGTGCCTATGATGTTTACAATGAGCTGTTCCATTTAATATAATTGAAATACTGTATTTCTTTAATGTTCTAAAGATATCTCTCCAGCTGCAACCCAAGTGTTTCCCACTTTCATTTTCCATCTTTCACGTGTTCAGGTACTATGAGACCATCTCAGAGGTGCTGAGCTCAGTGCGAAAGATGGAGGAGAGTCTGAAGCGACTGAAGCAAGCCAGAAAGGGTGCGAGCGCGACTACAACGGCAGGAGCAAACGGTGGACCCACGGACGACAGCAAGATCCGACTTCAGCTGGCACTGGATGTGGAATATCTGGGGGAACAGGTAGGTGGCGTTTGAGACACACAATGCACGTTCCTCTGGCAAACAGATGACAAATATTTCTCAAGTTACAAACTGCTACTAAGTTCTGTTACAAACTTCAGTGTCATCTGAAATACTTTTGATTATTCTCTCTTAAACTGCTCTGTACTGTTGTCTCTCAGATCCAGAAGATGGGCCTTCAGCCAAGTGACATCTCCATGTTCTCCACTCTGATGGACCTTGTGAGAGAGGCCCGAGAGCTCGCTGAACATAACCAGTAAAAAGTTGACTTCCTAGTAACTGAAATCCATTAACATGCTGCACTCATTCCTGCATTACCTGAAGACTTGTGAAGGGGAAAAAAAACATTTAGGATGATCAGACCAGGAAGAATGTAGGGCAACAACCGACACTACTGAACTCCTTTTTGTTCAGAAATATCTCCATTTAATGCATACTTTTATACTTTAATGCACAAACGTTTCAACAGCAGGAACCTGTCTGAATTGCGTCTGATTGAGCTGTAAATTGTTGTTGGGAACAGCGGAGAAACTACTGTCTGAGTGAGACAATGTGAATAAAAGGGACTGCATTGTAATGTGTTCATGAAATATTTATCACAAAATGACGCCGTGTGCTTGTGATAGGCCCAACTCTATAGAAAATGATTGGACTGATCATATGTTGGGACACAATTGTCCATAACAAGAATCTAAGTTGTAAAGGGAGAATGTCATTCAAACAATATTTGTTTCATTTCTGCTACTTGGTGAAGGATCCATGTTCATTTTTGTTCAAATCAAAGTTGTATAATATATGTTAATATAACATAATTTTGGAATAAATTTAAAAGCTTTGGATAGAGTGTGATTTAATACAGAGGTCATTAGCTAGCTACAAGTGGTTGTATATTAGTAACATGTTTTCACTGCACACATCTTTTTCCCACAGGACTCTGTGTACATGCCAACAAGTTATTATTACTCATGACGTTACTCTGAACACAATTCTAGACATTGATAAACCACATATACACCTGAAAGTCAAAGTCAACCTGTGGTGTTGTGAAAACTGAAATTTAGCCAGGATCAAGATGGATTTTGCCTTAAGAGCAAGAGGCTGCTGACATGTCACCATTCTGGAATGCTGATATGCATATTTCCATATTATTTAACATGTTTTTATTCACATATTTTCTGAGTAAGATGTAATATACACTATAGTTGCTACAATGACCACATTTTAAACCAGGCATGATAAAATCTTTATTTTTTGGATTTGCAGATGGCTACATTACAAAAAAGACAGATTTGGATTTTTGTTAAAGGTAGTACATTGATTTTAATATCTACTCAACATTCAGTACACACTAATTCAGTGGTGGAATGTAACGAAGTACATTTACTCAAATTCAAGGTACTTGTACATTACTTTTTATGCAACTTCATACTACTATAATGCTGTACTTCTCCACTACATTTGTCTGAAAGCTTTAGTTACAAGTTTCTTTTCAGAATTACAAAAAGCGTTTCAATTAGCTGATATAAATATGCATTGTGACAAAGCTGAAAACAGGGCTGTTTTTCTGAGCTCATGGAAAGTTTACTTTTTAGAGATCTGTGGTTCTTGCAGGACAGCAATGCTACAAAGGTATGATCTTATAGAATATGATGATTGCTGTAGGTTAAACTACCCAACAGTAAACATCTACAGCAGTAAAACATAATGCACATACGCATTAAATTTTTCCAAAAACATTGTATAAACACAGTAATGATAAAATACTGACAGAGACCATCTTACTGCACAATGAGTACATTTTTCTGATAATACTTACATACTTATATTTAAGTAAGGTTTTGAATGCAGGACTTGTAGTGAATTATTTTCACAGTGTGGTAGTAGTACTTGGATGTAAATACTTCTTCTACCACTGACTAAATTGTTTTATGTCAATCAGTGATGGTCAGTTCTGTTATTAGTCATTTATTTGAAATGAGTTATCTGTTAATTCTTTGGTTTAGTTGCAAAGTTGATGGTGGGAGAAGGACACTGCATTATTTGTCATTAATATTGTTTTTATGCACAGAATATATGGAAGTAAGCAGAGAGGCAAGATTTTGGAAACAGGACAAGAAAAATGTGATTTATTATCTGAGAAATAAAAATTTTATGTTTTGCTGTCTAAAAAATTGGTTGATGTGCAGTAGTTGACAAGATCATTGCCAAAATAACTGTCAGCAATACATTTAGCATAATTCCTAACCAGAAAAGTTTAGTTGGTGACGAATATTAATATAAAACTAATTTAAAGATTTGAAATAATAATTACTTTGTCTGAAATCCTGATGAAAAACAATAACATTTGAACTAAATTGGGATACAGTTTTATTGCAGCAATCACAAATCGTAACAAAACAAAAATAAACTCTTAGTTACAATATACAATATCATTAGTCATGGTCATCATAGAGAATCGTGGTTACTGTACCTACTCTACTGAAAAATACTGTACAGAACAGTGCTATAATAAATTCTACAGAAAAGAAAATTAGGATTTTAACAGGCTGCTTGAAAACAACTTTGCTTAAAGTAACATGTTTTCATAAATACTGAGACAGGGATCCCCAGTGACTCCTGAGTTTGTGGAGAGATCAGCTAGGTGGTAAAAGATACTACAACACTGTTGAATATTGATCCTTCTTGAGCGAGGTTGTGCTTCACTCTCATGTACAGAATGGGGCCATTATTTCAGTTAAAAAAAACAAGGGTATGATCTAAATGAGATGTCTGTTGAACGACTGATTTCAGCACCTTAAAAAACTTAAGTTGTATGTGGTGAAGTACGTTGTAAAGAAACGGGCCTGGTTTGTAGGACATTTTTCATGTCAGAGGAGTTTGTTGGTTACTATAGGTACTATAACTTTAGAGTGTAGGGTTGGTGATCTTGCCCAGCATGAGGATGGCGTTAGAATCTCCTTCTATGACTGAAAAGAAGAACGGCCGGTTGATGGACAGTTTCAGCGGGACGCCCGCTTCCTGGATCTTGTCCTGAGGTTCTGCTCCTTCATCTGACATCTCAAACACAACCTTGTTGACCACCTGAGAGGAGACAGAGACATCTGTTAATGATGCAGACACACACAGTGAGTGTTTGTTATAATATGACAAGATCATCTACTTCACCTTATCTATAGTGAAGGGTTTGACGTTGCTGAGTTGGCTGAACTCAGCCTGGGAGCCCAACAGTTTGGCCTCAATTTCTGGATCCATGTTGGTCAGCAGGTCAGGCAGATCAGTCACCGAAGACATGGAGAACTTTGGGAGTGACAGCTCCAACAGACTGGGTGGATGGACACAAGGGGAGACTGATTTTAAGTTTCGGAACAGACTCTTTCTACTCTCAAAATGCAACATAGCTTCATTTGCTTTACACTGATATGATGACACATTATGAATTGACTGATAAACAGTTGAAGTGGCATATACTGTAAAACCAGGAACTGTGTTTCTACAGTTATGGAATTTATATTTATTTTTATATCTCAAAAACCAAAAGTGATGAAAATTAAGTGTTGTTTTGGGAAAATGATACTAGTACAGTCCAATAAGGTTTTGAAAAAGAATAGATATTTGAATAGATATTTGTAACTTGCTGGCAAGATATTATGATGAATGTAGGTTTAATTACATATGAATGATAATTCAAACTGCAATTGTAACAATTTAAAACAATCTTTCAATAAATAATTACACAAAATAGGAATTTTGGAATGAGCTATTCAATATAAAAGCGACATTTGAACAGTAATACATATTCTTGCTATAAGTGAACGATAAGTCACATGACATTGATGAAATCAAAAATAGGTTCACAAACTGCCGACAACATGACGATAAAAGATGCTCCTGATTTTTAGTCTGTCAACTTGTGGTATTGTGAAGGACATCAAGCATCAAAGGTGAGATTTAGGGTTTTAAAAAAGCACAATACTCACCCTTCCTGGAGGCTCTGGTGCCAGTCAGACATGATATCAGTGCGCAGCTTAGACTCTATATCATGGAGGTTGGCCCCTTCATGAGGCAGGACCAGCAACATATAGGTCCGCTTGCTCAGAGACAGCTTCACAACTGTGCACCGCCGTACCTTAGTGGTAACATCACAAAATATTACAGATTAACACTAAGAAGTGAGTAAACTCACTCACCCAAGTACATTTCATATTTCACAGCTGCTAATACTGTATGTTGTGAACAGAAATGCACATGTGAACCAACAAATCAACATAAAAAAAACAAATATCCTGAACTAAGATTTACCTTATCATTCAGGTAGTGATACTGACCCGTGTGGGTCATCAGTGGAGCCATCACTGTGGTTGTTCCATCCACATGAAACTCCTGCATGGAGGTTTGCTCTGGTTTGAAGGCTGTCCTCCAGTTGCCTTAACAGACACAACCAAAGAACACAATCAGGTGGTGGAAGGTGCAGTAGTTGACAGCACTCTAAACATTGTTATCTGAAGGATTTCAGTTTGGTATATCAGCATCTGAGTCAACAACACAAAGCTAAGCTGAATTTACTAAGTCTAAGTGTGATTCATTGTAAATCTGATCGTAATAAGTAGTCCAGTATTTCATCTGTACCACAAAAAAGAAAACTTTTTAAAGTACAATACAGATCTGCAATATGTTTTCCATTCCAAATACAATCTTTGGGGCCACACACACGGGATTGAGATGTTGATTTGATAGATTGAAGTATTAAAATGAATTAAAACTCTTAAAATACAAAGTTAGTTTTGACTTTAAATTGTGCATCACAATCTGTGTATTCTGTAAAATCCACTTAACAGAGATCAAAACAAAAGAGAGGAAGGGACAGACCATGGAAGCTGAAGGAAGTAATGAACAGAAGGTCGCTGCTGGAGTTCAAATCTTTGAAGACGCTCTTCACCTTCCCGTCTGACGTCTTCTCCACAAAGCTGTTCACCAGCTGCTTGGCCTCCTGAGGTTTGGAGAAGTCCACCCCGCGGATGAACGATGTGTATGAGAAGTCCTGTGTGCCTTGAATAAAGTCCTCGGATAGTTGAGCATCCTTGCGAGTGAAGGTCCAGACCTGGGTGGTGATCTCATCTTTCGGTCCATCGTCCACCAGAGAGTTAATGCTCTGCAGAGTCTTGAGAACCTTGTGTCCGTCCACTAAGGACACACAGTCCTCTCGGTCGGTGCCGCTGCTCAGGCCCAGTAGAAGCTGGAAGAAAAAGAGTGAATTGAGAAAAACTTACTTATTTGAGTGAACGTGCAAGACTTGATAATCAGTTAGATCGTAAGGACCGCATCAACAGACTCTACAATGAGGACAAATCAAAAGCAAAGACCTGGAACGAGCTCGCTGTTTTCTTGGATGCTCCCAGGTAGAAGGTGACAAGGGATCCGAAGGTGTTGACTGGAGAGAGAAGGGTGTTGGTGCTGAGCTGCTTGCTGCTGAGAGCCTGGTACATCCTCAGGCCCAGAGAGTTCAACAGCTCTGCCAGAACTGCCGTCCTCTCTGTGATGTTCTGCCTTTGGGCATCCAGTTTTGACGGGTCTCTGTTGTCTGGTGTCAGGACATCAATATCAAGGGGGGCCACAGGGAGTGTCTGCAGAGGCTTGGACGTTTGTGTCTGCAGGGTCTCACAGCTGACATTCTCGGTGGCAAAAAGATGGAAGGGGTGAACGTAGACTCGGTTGGCTTGGCTTCCTGAGAGGTAGCAGCCGAGTAGGAGAGCTAGAAGAGGCGACCATGGAATCTGCATTTTACCTTTTGTTGGAAGTCACTTCAAAACAATTCCTTCTGTGGAGGGAGACAATATCTTTAGTATCCAGTGAATTAACTAAAGTATATCAATCTATCAACTGCCTCATGAGTCTTTGTGAGCACTTAGTATTGGGTGGCCTGTGAATTACTCACTAGTCACTATTAGCATGGCTTTCATCAGAAATCTGGCTGGATCTGTTTTTTCCGTCTCTAACAAGTTTGGTTGGCAGGAACATTGGATATTGATTGCTCTTTGTGTGATTACTGACAGGTTCATTGAGATATTTCACATATTCTCAACTGGAGTATTGCTGGAGCTCCTGATGAACGCTGTTTTAAGGGCTGCAACTGGCCATCTGAGTTGAATTTGAACAGACAACTCCTCCACGAACACCTTTCATGCATTAACTTAGATTTCTGTGAAGGAGAATAACTTGGGTGAGTTCTCTTATCCAGAAATAGGACTTTATCCTTTGAGTTGAACGTGCAGAAATGTGGCCTGATGGACTATTGGACGAGGTGAGCAAACACTAGATTTTCCTCTATTTGGAAATGTACCACAGGACATGGCCTTGGTCCCTTATCAATAAAACCTGTGCACTCAAGCGACTCAATGAGGTCAAAAACACGGCTGATCACTGATATTTTCTGTCAAGATCTCAGAATTTTGGATACTAACTTTACAGAAATTAGTGGTCCTATTTATTGTCTTGAAATGGATAACCCTCAAATTAAAGTCGGTCAAAGAGACAGTTTGACAGAGGTTCTTTTTTGCACACCAGTTTTACACACATTTATTTTCGCACATTATTTATTTATTTATTTTTTGAAGAACATACTAGATCAATCCTATAAATTATAGGACTCTCATCTCTGATGAAGTTTGTGCATTCACTGTACTGCACCATCAAATGGCAATTACTAAGAAAAAGTCAAAGCTTTCTCTTACCGTGTGTGTCTGCTGCTGCTGCTGCTGCTGAGTGAGGTGCTGAGTGAGTTTCAGGCTCCTCTGCACCCTCACTTTAACCAGCAGCATGCAGCCCACTCTAGTTACTGATTAACCAAAACAGCATTCAGTCGGGGGCACTGCTGCCATGACTCACAGCCCACTTTGTACTAACGAGCTACTGCTATAGATAAATAGGTCTGACAGAGAGAAAAGAAAGAGACCACACAATGTCCCTCTACATGTTGACTTTGGGAGGATGATGCAAGTGTATCGAAAAGAGAGCTCAATTTCCACAAAGGAGGAGTGGGAAGCAGAAGGACAGTCAGGCTTGTTTGTCTGAGTGACTCACTGAAATGTCACCATACTGTAGAGATGTTTATTTGTGAACAGGGAATTGTGCTCCTGATTAATTACGCATGTTCTTTGAAATTTTGCTCAACCTCTGGCTCAAACAAGTATCAAGAAAACAAGTCTGACACCTGATTCACTTAAGTCTATACAAGCAAAACTAAGAAGAGAAAAAGAGTAGGGGAGGGAGGACATTACATTACAAGATTACTAATACTATCCTTATCCTATGTTCATCTCTATTAACTTATTTACTTGCTCTCGAGTTTCACTTTCTAATATTATGCATGTCAATCATTATTCAGTCATTAGTGCAAGTTTACTATAAATTTACAATAATGCTCTTTAAACTATGTTAACTGATATCGTGAGAAAATCTGCATCTCTGACTTGCATTTTTAACTTAATGAACCACTTCAAAAGTGAGAACTAATAAAATGTCTAATAAATGCAAATGTATAGAATAAACCAATACTGCGTCTCTTATCCTCACTTTATCATTGTCACTATCAAACTGTTGGATGCTGAAGGATGTTACGATTGAATTTAGAAGGATACCAAACTCAGCATGTCCTAGGAAAAGAGCAAACACCTTTGAAATGTTCTTTATAGGCAGGCAAACAAGTTTATTAACCAATGTACTATTACGCAAAGGCGACATCCGTGAACATAATGAGGAAAATCCTTCACACACACACCTGATTCAACAGGGCAGGGTACACTAGATCTTCTCACCAGAAAGAGAAACATTGTGTCACATTGAGGGTTTTACAGCACAGGTTTTATCTTTCACAAACATTGTTACAGTGTCAGTGATAATAATTGCTAAAGGAATGTTAAGTCTATGAAGCAAAAAATGAAAATCCCTTCATGCAGCGCTGACAGTTTCAACCAAAAGTCACTCATTTGAAAACAACATCCGTCTTTTCTGGTCTCTTATCAACTACAGTTTCTAACGTTTTTGGAAACATGCTGAGCACCGACACCCCCAGTACCGGGGGCAGCACGCGATTTTTACAACCGTTGCTGTTTGTCTCTTCAGTCCAAAAATCAACTGATTTGTTACTAAAAATATCACTGGGCGCATCTTGATTATTGTGCAATACCTGGGAGCTGTGTGCCCAACTTCTCAACTTTTTCTGCAGAGAGGAGAAGTGCTGCTTTGGAACACACAGTCTTTTTCGCGGTCCGGTAGCCGACTCGTAGTTGTTACATAGACATCCACATCAAATGAAAGGTGTTGGTTTTGATGTTTTTTTGCATTAAAAATATAGCTTTTTTTACCAGGCGAAGCTGAAAATTTCATATTTTTCTTTATTGCATCTCAATTTAGTCTGTAATGGTAAAATAAATATGTTAATTTAATATTTCAATTGATTTATATTCTTTAGCTTCTGACCTTTCAAAGGAGACCAGATAATGCAGAGACCTAGACCTAGATCTAGGCCAAATGGTTGAGGAGTTATTCCTGATTCATTTTGGGTATTTTATTTTAGGCGTTTCTTCTGGAAATAGCTGGTGGATTCCAAGCATTTTAAAGAACATCTTTATGCCCATCAACCCCTAAAACAGCCAAATTCTATCTTTATTTGTAACTAATGAATTATTTGATTATTTAGAACTAATACAAGGTGCAGTGCTAGAGATTTAAGAAATGCTTGAAGAATATAAAACTGAAGCATACCTGGACTTGGTGGCACTACATGAAAAGTTAGGGTATCAAGGTTATCAGTCAGTAGGAATCACCATCTGGGCACCATGAATGTCTGTGATTTCTTGGTAATGAATTCAACAGTTGTTGGAAGTATTTCAGTCTGGACCAAATTGGTGGACTGACCGATTGATCTGGCCATCTTTAGAGCCTATAAGCATAAGATTATTTGCCAAGAAATGTGATCACCCAACACACAAGTATTTTAAGAATATGTGAAAGAATCTATGAAAAAGTCTTCAGCTGCATCATTTTTTTAATTATTAAAAGCATTGATTTGTTTACTGTATATGGCATGTTTACAGGACAAACAACATTTTGGATGCATATAAGCTGCTGAGGTTTAACTAGCTTTTTTTTGAAAATTTTCCAGGCTTTAAAATACATGAAACTACATCAATATTAGTACAAATGTTTGATGTTCATACTATTTCACTGTAAAAGGATGCAGCAGGAGTCATGGGGTCACATTACTGTAGTAGATGCCAGTTATGTAAGCTCATTATAGTGGAGATTTTATTATCTTCTCCTTTGTAAGTTCCCCAAAACCCTCATCAAGTTCTAACATACTGGATGTCCTAAGCACATACTTTAAAATCCTGAATCTAGAGGTTAACAATCTTTGTGTACTCTTTATGATAGTTAACCAAGTGTGTGTTTCTCAGGCACAATTATTACAGAGTAATCTATCACTATCACTATTGGTGGCATCAGAAACTTTATGGGCACTTTATTAAAGTGTCGAATTTGGCTGCTGGCTATAAAAGCTGCTGTGTTCAGCATCTGAAGCAAGTTGGATGCAGAAAGAATTCATCATGTGGACTCTCTTGGTTCTTTGCAGCGTGATCACCTCATATGGAGTGCGAGGTATTGTCCACTATTTTCTTATTGTAATGTTTGTCTATTTGGTTTTGGATAGTGTTTTTTTCAGTCTTGCTTTTGTATTTTTAGGTTTAGTTGTTAGTAATTCCGTATCTATGCGTTTGTATATTTACTTTCCATGACAGGATTTTAGGCTGTCACTGGTCTTTAAGTGGCTTATGTACTCAGACCTTTTGTCCTATTTGTTTGTTTTTTTCACAATACATCAGGTGCTGATCGCTTCCAAACGACTGATGGAATGAATTCAGAAACACCAGAATCTCCAGGTACAAAAAACTACCACTAAAATAAAAAGAACCAAAATGCCCCGACTGTATCGCTTGATTGATGTGTTGTTGATTTCACATGGTTTTAGCCAACAGTTTCAGCTAAATCAGCGCTATTAACCCGAGGGCCAGATTTACTAAAGGCTTGTATGAGTAAAAACGTGTGCAAACGTGATATCACCAGCAAATTAACATGTAAGCTGATCTACTAACGGCGTGCATGCAGAACGACATCTTCCAAAAGTGCAAGATAGCACCTGTTGTTCATTTACTACTTTTGCCTTAATGAATATGCAATTTGGGGTGTTTCAATTTTATTGGAAAAGTAATGGGAGGGTAACATGAAAATACCTTTATTTACTACACGCAATGGGATCTAACAAGCCTAAAAGCAATGTCATGTGAGTGCAATAGCGTCTGTATTTAATACGTTTGAAAGGAAGGTGCAAACGCCAAGTGTTGCTGGCTGCTGTTATCGCTGTGAGAAGGAGACACAACCGTAATGAAAGAAAAATATTATAATATAATATAAATAATATTATTCCACATCCAATATATAGAAATAAAATTATTTAATTTAATTTTATTTATTTTTTTGTATTTTCCTTGAAGCTTTGGCAACACTGTTGTATTAACATTCATGCTAATAAAGCAAATTTTGTTTAGACCTGACTTCTTTTCTTTGTGAGATGGAAGAATTTAGAAAGTTGCGTGGCGCTACAGACACATCTATGCAATAATTCTTAGTTAATCACCCATAACAGGTGCAATATTTTAGAATGCACACGCAATTTAGTACTTTTTATTGGGGTTGTTAGTAAATCTGGTGTATTAAAAGAGGAAAGATGTGATTATCAGGCTAACTAAAGTGTGTCTTTGATCTGAGTTACAGAATGTGTTTATACTTACCTTTAAGTGTTATATCTCTCTGTTTTTTAATATTTTTTTGTCATTTAAGAAACATCAGTTCCTGATGCAACATACACAGATGATGTAACTGGTTCTGCTGTAGCAGGTAAGATAAATACCACCAAAATAAGAAGCATAATAATCGTTCTGTTTCTTTTCTAATATATATATCTGAATATATATGGATATGTATTTAAAGTTTTTTTTAACTTGCAGGAATAGAACAGTAATCACACTACAACAATTCCACTGGTACCTGAGAAGATTTACTTATCTTTAATAACCCATCCATGTCAGCACTGAAATGACTTGTGAATTCTTGTACAAACTGTAAGCTCACCGTCACAGAACCATTGTAAAAGGTTTAGTTAATGTCAGTAGAGATAATCAGACAGATGTAACTGGCATAGATACCAATGAATATTTTTTGAATAAATACATTTGAGGTATTTCACATTCAGAATTGAAGAATTTGACATGACTTATTAAAAATAAGCAGTTGTTTCTTTCCAGATCTAAATTAAGTCAAAATATAATCTCAACAAATACAGTTTGCTTTCTGTAAAAATTGTTGTTAAAATTCTCTGCAGCACAAAATGTTTTATTATTTGTGTAATTATTTATTACTATGTTTCTCATTAATGTTATTGTATTTTAATTTTCATCTTGCCATTTATTTGTTATTTACCCGTTCTTTATTAGTAATTTCTTCAATTGTCCTGATCCTGTGTTTCTTCAGGTGTACGCTGTGGTGGCTACCTGTATGGAAGCAGTGGCACTTTTTCCAGCCCCAACTATCCAAGCAAGTACCCGGTAAACGCAGACTGTACATGGTTCATCAATCCAGGCAGACAATTCGTGCAGCTGAAGTTACTTGATGTAAAGTAAGCATATGCAGGGGGCCCCACTGATCACTAACTGCTGTTGCTGTATTGTCTCTTTATTTCCAAACCTTTGTTCTTCTTTTGCTCTTTTCAAAGCATTGAGAATCACCCAACTTGTGGATATGATGCCATTTACGTCTACGATGGCTCAAGCACCAGTAGCAGGTTTCTGGGGAAGGTGTGTGGCAACAGTACCAGTACCACCAACATTACCACATTCCACTCTACTGGTGCTTATTTGACTGTGCGCTTCAGGAGTGACAGCATTATTAGCTACTCAGGATTTCTTGCTGAATACCGAGTTGTGGGTAAGTCACAATGATTATGCCGACCAAAATGTTTATGCGTTTTACACAATATGCAGTGTCCCCATTTTAATGATATTTCAATAGCCTTAAAACACAATTACACATTACAACCATGTAGAGATGGACTGAAACTGTGCGATTTCACTGATGGGAATTGTTTTGTTTTTTTGTTCTTTCTGCAACTGAAGAATCCTGCAGATACAACTGTGGCTACCAGGTTGCAGGCTGTTCTTGCTCATCAAGCTGTGAATACAGAGGAAACTGTTGTCCAGACTATAAAGGTAAGCAATGCTGGAAAGTGTCGGACTTGCCGGACCAAAGCAAAGATTAAAATAGTGTAAAAAATATGAAAATAAACTTATGTAGCAGAATTGGGTTTTTTCTTCTTTTCTGACATATATTACATATATTGTGACCCTTTGGAAGGGGTCCTACCCCTAGGTCCCATTGGACTAAATAAAAAAGTTAAAACTAGCTCAAACTCAACCAACTATAAAAGTACAATTCTGCTGATGTATTGATGCAACAGTATTAATTAATAAATAATGTAATATATTACAATATAGGATTTTTACTTGTCACAGAGTATTTTTACATTCTTGTATTGTTAACTTTACTCGGGTAAAGGCAACAAAAAATCTGAAGACTTGGTGGTTGGTCAAAATAGTGATTTGGGTTCATATATCAACCAATGTAATTTCTGTTATACAGATTACTGTTTATCCACATCTGCACCAGTAACAGGTACTTGAATTTCTCTAAATCAAAGTTCCATAAAAGAAAAAAGTACATTTTAGTTGAAGTAATCTTGCTATAAAGTGAATGTCTTCTCTCAGCTGGTCCGTCATGTCGTTACAACTGTGGCATGCACATGGGAAGCTGCTCTTGCTCAAGCACTTGTGAATACTATGGAAACTGCTGCCATGACTACCACTGTAAGTGCCAACTGAACGAATCAACAGTATTCAGGTTCTGCATCCCTCTCTTGCTGAAACAATCAAGTCTGTCAATTTCCTCAGTGCTTATATGGACATGGTGGAATACTATTTTTTGTTTACAGTTGCAGAGCAAACATCTGTATCAGAATGTGTGTTCTACAGCAAGACGAGGTGTTGAAGATTGTAATCACTTTATTTTCTTCTCTCTGTCATGTAGCTTACTGCCCGTCACTTCTGTATATTCTTTTATGCTAAACATTGTCCAAAAAGAGTCAGTTTCGGAAAGTAATAGAAATGGTCAGACACAGTCCCCTCAACCCCAAGCAATATGAGGTGTTAAAGATTGTAATCACTTTATTTTCTTCTCTCTGTCATGTAGCTTACTGCCCGTCAACCACTGACATACCTGTCACCACAGGTATGAAAATCTCTCAACAACCTATATGTGACAGAATAAAACGCATCATCAATTACTGAAATGTTTAAATACTCTCTCTTGTCTCTCAGCTCAGCCCTCATGTCAGTACAACTGTGGCTGGTATATGGGAAGCTGCTCCTGCTCAAGCTCTTGCCAATACAATGGAAACTGTTGTTATGACTACCACTGTAAGTCTCATGTTCCTCAAAGCTCAGCACAAAAGCCACTGCACACTCTGATCACAGTTTCTACATAAAGCATTGTGCATCACACTGAAATGCACTACTCCAATGTCATTCAAAGTTTCCATAGAAATTGACGGTGCAGTGATACAAATTTAATACAAATGCAGAAACTTTTTTGTATTTATTTTTTTGTTTAAAGCAGTAACCATAAGGATAAATAAAAGATAAAAGCATAAAGATTCACAGTTCTATAGACATTTAAAGTGTCCACGTCATGGGGTTTAAATCTCACTTGAGTTTTTGTGTTTGATTCTGTTTTGGCAGGTCACTTCTGTATATTCTTTTATGCTAAACATTGTCCAAAAAGAGTCAGTTTCGGAAAGTAATGGTCGGACACAGTCCCCTCAACCCCAAGCAATATGAGGTGTTAAAGATTGTAATCACTTTATTTTCTTCTCTCTGTCATGTAGCTTACTGCCTGTCAACCACTGACATACCTGTCACCACAGGTATGAAAACCTTTCAACAACCTATATGTGACAGAATAAAACGCATCATCAATTACTGAAATGTTTTAATACTCTCTCTTGTCTCTCAGCTCAGCCCTCATGTCAGTACAACTGTGGCCGGTATATGGGAAGCTGCTCCTGCTCAAGCTCTTGTCAATACAATGGAAACTGTTGTTATGACTACCACTGTAAGTCTCATGTTCCTCAAAGCACAGCACAAAAGCCACTGCACACTCTGATCACAGTTTCTACATAAAGCATTGTGCATCACACTGAAATGCACTACTCCAATGTCATTCAAAGTTTCCATAGAAATTGACGGTGCAGTGATACAAATTTAATACAAATGCAGAAACTTTTTTGTATTTATTTTTTTGTTTAAAGCAGTAACCATAAGGATAAATAAAAGATAAAAGCCTAAAGATTCACAGTTCTATAGACATTTAAAGTGTCCACGTCATGGGGTTTAAATCTCACTTGAGTTTTTGTGTTTGATTCTGTTTTGGCAGGTCACTTCTGTATATTCTTTTATGCTAAACGTCCAAAAAGAGTCAGTTTCAGAAATTAATAGAAATGGTCAGTCACTTTATTCTCTTTTCTCTGTCATGTAGCTTACTGCCTGTCAACCACTGACATACCTGTCAACACAGGTATGAAAACCTTTCAACAACCTATATGTGACAGAATAAAACGCATCATCAATTACTGAAATGTTTTAATACTCTCTCTTGTCTCTCAGCTCAGCCCTCGTGTCAGTACAACTGTGGCCGGTATATGGGAAGCTGCTCCTGCTCAAGCTCTTGTCAATACAATGGAAATTGTTGTTATGACTACTACTGTAAGTCTCATGTCATTCAAAGCTCAGCACACTTTGATCACAGTTTCCACCCAAAGATTATACTGAAATTCATGTTTTTGTTGACTGTTTTTTAACAGCCTACTGCCAAGTCACGACTGACATGCCAACCACAGGTAGGATTCACGGTGTGCAAAATGAACCTGCTGCAAACAGTTCACTGCAATGATACTCATGTTATTTTGTCCACTTTCAGCAGGCCCGTGTGGAGGCTCTCTTTTTGGCTCTGGCACCTTCTCCAGCCCGAACCACCCCTACTATTACTACGACAATGCCTACTGTGTCTGGCAGCTGAGAGCTGCATTTGACCAAAGAATCTTCCTGTCGTTCACGTACCTGCAGTGAGTTATGAATAGACCTGGGGATCTTATAGATCATAAGTATAAATGAGCTTAATTATTATGTGAAATACAAAATGGAAAAATTGTGACAGAAATGATATACAGCAAGAATATTATTAACTTTTAAAAAATGCCTACCAATAGAATTAGTAAATTAATGTATGGCCTTTATCCTCTCTTTTAAAAAACAGATTGGAGAACTGCTGCTCCTGTGACTACATTTCAGTCTACGATGGGCCATCTGTTAGCTCACGATATCTGGGGAAAGTGTGCAACACAAGTCTGAATTCTTTCTACTCATCCTCCAACTACATGACGGTGCTCTTCCGGACTGATGGTTCTGTGGTAGGACGAGGGTTCAGTGCAGACTTCATAAGCTCTCTGCCATCAAGTTCAGGTACAATTATTGTAACTTTAAAATGTGTATAAGACGTCTATTATATGTGTGTTAAATATTTCTTGCGGACTGACTTAGCTCCTGTGAAAACAATGTATAGTATCTACAGTGCTTGTAATACTTTTTAAAGTCATAGGAAATGATGCTGGAGACAACAAATTTATCACAGAAATCCTGCATTACAAACAGGGGGGCAAGGAGATTGAAAGATGTAAGATCATGCTGGGAGGGTCTAACAAAAAGATGCCATTGGTTGCATTGTGAGTAATGTAGGATCGAGCACTTGTAATGATACATGCTAAAATCTCCATAATACTGTAAATCAAACATCAGAATGTGAACTCCCTCACAAATATAATGTTTTAGCACATAATGTTTGCAATCTTAATTTAGTACAACACAAAGTAACATAAAATACATCTGAGACAGATGTTAATGGCATTCAGTTTGCAGGTATTTGGTCATAAATAAAAGCATTAGGCAAATATAAATTTTGACCTACTGATGCGCTGGAAAGTGAAGGGATCACCAGTTCATTCTGGTGGGGACATGAATGTCTGTACCAAATTTCAGTGAAATCCACTCAATAGATGTCAAGGCATTTTATTCAAAACCACAAATGTTAACCTCATGGTGATGCTACGGGAAATATTAGTAGTCAGTAGGATTTCATCCTCTGGTGATTTTTGGACAAAGTTGTGGAAAGCAAAACCAATTACCAACATAGCTTAGAACCTTACCGCTAGCATGGCTTAAAACACAGTAATCTTAGATCATAAATCATCCTAGAAGCAATTCAAGCTGTTGTAAATAACTTGTAAACATGGTCCTTCGACAGGTAGAGTAGACTGCTCCTCAGACAACATGAACATTGTGATTGAGAGGACTTATCTGAATTCTCTCGGCTACGACGGCCACAGTCTCTACCTGAATGACCCGCTCTGCAGACCCCAGGTTTCCAGCTATCAGGTGGTCTTCAGTTTCCCCATAAACACTTGTGGCAACGTTCGGAAGGTAGTCAACTCATCATCTTCTGGAAAACATTAACAATATACAGTATATCCTAATAATTTTCTCTTACTGTATTATCAAGGACATGGATGCAGATGTCAGTGGAATCTTGAGTCTGACTATTTTTCAATATCTTACACTTTTCTTATAATTTGACCAGTTTCAGAATGGCAGAGTTGTGTACACCAACACTGTTCGTGCCTACACCACCAACTCTGGAGAGATCACACGCCAGTCTCACTTGAAGCTGAACGTGGGCTGTCGAATGGAGCAGGACTCAGTGGCCCAGATTATGTACCTTGTCCATCATCGTGATAACAGCAGCATTACAGGCACAGGCAGATTCAATACCAGCATGGACTTCTACACATCCAGCAGCTTCTACTATAAGGTGTGTTTGGGTAGTAAAGGGGTGACTGTTTGTACAGAACGTTTCTCTTGCACACCATTCTGACGTTTTGCATATACTCTCAGGTGACTCAAGTTCCATACGAGGTGACACTCAACCAGAACCTGTATGTCCAAGTGGACCTAAGGAGGGGTGACAACACCCTGGTCCTCTATCTTGACACGTGTGTGGCCTCACCATCACCCCATGATTTCCAGTCCAGAGCTTACTACCTTGTCCGTAACGGGTAAGATAAGAGTGTGACTTGCTTCATTGCTGCCCACAAGCAGTGTGGATTAAGTAATTAAACCCCAACTTTGTGTTACAGAACTTGCTTCCTCCCCTATCCCAATAACCATCTCACAACACCCCAGATTTATCTGGTAACTCTGGAGGAGGCCGGATCCTCATAGTTGCACTAGACTAGACTACCCACATACATGAAGTAGTTAAAAGTAGCTCCACCTTGACCAGCTGCAACAGTAAAATGCTGCTTATGCATTGATGCATCAGAATTATCTTATAATGTAAAATGTAATATTGTGTAATTGAAGGGGCATTTCTTTACAGAACTAGTACATTTACTTTTGATATTTAAGTTAAGTGTGGGACGTTAACCTCTAATGTATTTAATGAGTATTTTTACCTTGTGGACTTTTACTTAAGTAGGAGATCTGAATACTTCTTTTTACTACTGCCAAATATTTTTAAAAATGAAGCACTTGGTGGACCTTGCTCTTCGGTTAATGTTACACATGCATAGTACTGGTATTGTCCAGTAAAACTGTCTGTTTCACCTTTAGATGTCCCGTGGACAACACCTACCAGGCCTACATCACTGGCACCCGTGCCTATGCCCGTTTCACATTTAAGGCCTTCCAGTTTCTGCGAGCCACAGAGTCAGTGTACGTCCAGTGCAAGGTCCTGATATGCCCAGCCTCGGACTACAATTCCCGCTGCCGCCGTGGCTGCCAAAAACGTATGGCCAGAGACCTGGGGTCAGAACACGACAGCCAAACTCTGGTCCTGGGCCCCATCCAACTCAAAGGTTAGGTTAGCAGTAAGAAACGTCATTGTGATCTAATGATCTCAAGTAAACATTACAATTAAAGACATTTCACTGTTTCTCTTTGCCAGACCCTGAGAAAAAGGAAGAAGAGACTCAGGAGCAGATCAAGGCCTAACCTGATGCTGCAATGAGCTTCTACAATCATACTTACCAATCATTACAGCTCTTGCCATGCTGTTCATTGTGACACTGAATTATTCTCATTTCTTTTCTCTTTATCACATTACCTGATTAAAAGCATCAACGATCTGTGTTTGTGTATTTCATTATGTCACACTCTTAAATGAACATTAAATATAAACACCTCATAATAAGAGTAACATTGCTGTTACTGAGTTCCTGAATACAAAGATGGAGAAAAGGAAAACAAAAGACAAGGTGCAGGTCAGTTAGAAAACACTTTACTTATAAATTAGTTTGATTAATCCATGTTACAATAAAATGATTTGCCATCCAAGAGGGAGAGAGTAATCGCCAAAAGGCTTCAACATTCACCATTACCTATGAACCTACAACACACAGAGAACATAAGGCAGTCATTGCTGGATGCCCCTCTTACTGGTAAGCATGGTGACAAGGAGGTGGTCCTATAAACAGTAACTATGTTCTCCACGCATGTTGCTACGCAACAGACAACAGTACCCAAGACAAAGAACAATTGTGCTAAAGTAGCAGTCTTACTGCAGCATGATTATGCTTTTTTGACACTGAACATTTATCCAACCACTCAGAATACAATACTCAGTAAATATTCGGAAAAGCACAGGGATCCATCTGATAAATGGGGAATCTCAGTGTTTGTAAAAATTGGCATCCCCAGTGCTACGTGGCAATTCTGAAAGTGTTCACATGAGACACAAGACTTGGTGACTCTGTCCCAAATATAGAGACACTGGATTTCAAAGTGACTTCATACAATTTCAAAATATTACAATGTGACATGAAGTAATTAAAAGAATATGCAAACAGTGTAAACAAAATGAGTAAAAGGTACCGTGATGCCGGTCAAAGAAGGGCACTGTGTTGAGGGACTTCAAAATAACACGATCTCTACAAAATATAGTTTACCAACTCAGCTAGTTGAGCAAAAACAACTGACACAAAGTTTGGCCAGTTTTACTGTGGATGCCATCCATATAGTTTTGATCCCAAAGTTTCTTAGCAGCAGTCATGGAGCAGAATTTTGGCAAAAAACAGAAAATCATGGCGATCATAGAAAACTTAAATGGCCAAACTTCTTTTCTAAGGTTCCGGGCCTATCCAGTACAGTAACATGAAGATATTGTAATAATATCTATTAATCTTAAAAATAACAGTCCTATCTTGGACACACAAGAAAGTGACTATGTCAGGCACTGCAAAGAAATAGTAGTAATGCACCAAGCACTGAAATAATTTCAATAAGGCTTAAGTAAGATCACTCTAGGCCAACAGTTTCACTCCTGTGAAACACAGCTCCAGGAGTGTTGAGAATTTATTTGGGTTGCCCACTCGCAACTACATGCGTGTGGTCTCCCCAAAATATGTACTCTGCCCATAGCATGGCTGCTTTATTCATAAGTTGTGTTTAGATTGCTAAATTAATTCCTTCCAATAGCCACTGGCTTTCATTCAGCTCAGTCCAATATGAGGCCATTTAACCTGCATAAAACAGTACCTATCTACTTGCTTTAGATAGGTACAATGAAAGCAATTTCTGTCAGTTAACTTAGCGTGGCCTTGTATTTCCTTTGACAGAGAGAGATTTGAAAAGTTTGCCAATGAGTTAAGTTCATGTATTTAACAACATAAAAACAGAAATACATTTTTAACTATGCTAATTAAAATCCAAACCCAAAAGACAAACCAAATTCAAGGAATATTCTAATATATATTGTAAGTTTTATTCTGATTTATGACAGCACATGTATCCAACTCCCAGCACCACCACAAATAAATTCTCAACCTGTTGAAAACACTGATCATCCCTTTATAATACACTCAAATGGGCACCATAAAAAATAAAACCATCTGAATGTTGACATTTACTGGTGTAAGTACAACTTTCAAAGGCTAGGCTACATCAAAGCCAAGTAAAAGACCAATAAATAAAATTACTATGGTATTAATAAAACAAAGCTGTTCATTAAAAGTTCTTTCAAAGTTGTCATACATTACTTGTGCTGCCCACGGGCAAAGTGGCAGGCAAAGTCATACTTGCTCTTGCACTTGTGGCCACAGATGTTGCACTGGAATGGGTTCTCGTAGCCGTGGCAGCCCATGTGAATGGTGTAGAGGATGTTGTCAGGAAAAAAGATGTCACAGTGCTGACAGTGATGCAGCATGTGGGGGTCCTGGAGTGGGGCGGACAGGACCGGGGCCGGTGTACTGGGTTGGCTGTTGGAGATACTAGGGGTGCTGGTACGCCCACTGTGCTCGCTGCAGGGTCCCCCTCCAGGGCTGCAATTGCTGTGGGGAGGAGCCCGGGGCTCTGGAGTGATTGGGGAGGAGGAGGAGGCATGGACCATGCTGGCCGTGACAGCCACAGGAGCTGTGGCAGGGTGGGGCTGCTGGATGAGGAAGGGCTTCTCATCAACGATAGACTCTGCTCCTGGAGACATAGGAGGTTGAGTCTGGGCCTGGGACTCTGAAGGGAGGCTGGCCAACTGGCCTGCCAGGGTGGACAGTTGGTTCAGGGGGTTATCCATAACCATGTCATGATGATGGTGATTTTGATTTGTTGTGTGTCCGTCCTCGACTCCTCGACTCTGACTATCATAGGTCTCCTGACGTAAGTGGGGGAGCTCATGGGAGAAGTCGTTCACATTGTCAGCCTTGTGCACCACCATAGAAGGGGGGCTGAAGTTGATGAGGAGTCGGCGGCCATAGCCCAGTGAGCTGGCCTTCTTCTGTAAAACACTCAGCATCTTCTTATGGGAAAGTGAGCGAGCACCTTTCATTGGCAGGAGTTTGTGGCGTCGACGGCGATGGTGCGACAAATTGCTACGATCACTGCACCGGAAGGAGCACAGCTCACATTTATAAGGCTTCTCGCCTGTATGTGATCGCATGTGGGCTTCCAGGTGACGCTCGTAGGCTGAAGCAAATGGGCAGAGGTGGCAACGGTGAGGTTTCTCTCCTGTTTAATTGAGGAAAACAGGCTAAGTAACAAAACAGAGTCAGTGCTATCCCCTGAAAATTAACTATTAACACTTACCTGTGTGAATTCGGATGTGCTCAATGAGTCTTGCTGTGCCTCTCGTGGCATAGTTGCAGTAGCGGCACTTGAGCTTTCCGTCATACGTCCTCTCAAAACCGTCCACCAGGATCCCTGAGCTGTCCTCCAGTGACATGTCCACTGAGGGGTGATCCAGTCCATTCTGACTGCAATCTGAAAACACGAACATTAGCAGGAAATGACATACCATAGAAACTTTAATTATAAACAATGATTCAGCAGTGTTTGTGTGTAGTGTGTATTATTTTCATGAACACTGTTGCTGACTACATGTAGTCCAACACTTCAGTTACATTTGTTGTGCTTAACTGTATACAATAACATTTATCACAGACTTATTGAAGGAGCATGTGAATAAGGATGACCCTGCCTGATTACTCAGCAGTTACTTTCTATGACAATTCATCAAATGAATGCGATGCAAATTCTGTTAATGATGAATAACGTTATGTCAGCTGTTTGCCTAAATCAAATTGCACCAACCCCAGACTCTTAAAAACTGATGAATTTACATGAAAGGGTTGTAAAGAGTACATGAAACATAGCCAGTAACCTGGTGGCAGCTCGTCAGCCTCCTTGACGCCGCTGACGGAGCCTGATATCATGTTGACATGTTGAGTCTGCTGGCTCAGATACTCCTGGAAATCCTTCACAAAGTCAAGCGTGTCTGGCTTTTCCTCTCCCATTGAAAGAAAGTGATGTAATTGTCCAACCAACCACAATTCCTGAAGAGCAAAGATGAATCGGCATGGGGTCAGGAAATATATATAAATATATAAATATAAGAAGCACCATCGTCAACGTTAGCTAACGTTGGCTGATTTTTCAGAGATGTAACGCTAACGTAAACGTAACATTAACTTACACCTCTGCTTACACCTACCTCTCCGGAGATAACTTGTCGGCTAACGTTAAATAAACCAGTGTTGTTTGTTTGGCTGGAAACGCCGTTTTGTGGCTTTCCAGACAGAACAATCCTGAAAATATGTGATTGACAAGCAGGAAATCGGCGCGATCCGATGTCTGGTCGGTCGCTTCTACAAACCGCTTCTCACCATCGTCATGTTGTTACCAAAGCTACGTACGCTACATTAGCCAGACAGCTAACGTTAGCTTATCTTGGACGAAGCATCTTTGTCAACAGAAACGCCGTTATCTGGTCAACACCGTCATTATTTACATTGTCTGTACGCGTTTGAGTAAATCCTCAACAGGTACTGCAAGTTGTGAAATGTTCTTCCCGTCGACCCACTTGCTACAATTCACACAAAACAGCAACCTGTTATATCAAAACAATAAACCAGTCTGAGGGGTGAAAGTTCACCTTGTGTGCACCGGTAAAAGCCTCCCCGCCGCGAGATCCACTTACCCGCGAAGAAAGGTTCCCAACACTAAAGCTGCAACTGTGGTCAAAATAAAAAGCTGTACAGTTGCTCACATATTATTAAAAACATTATTATTCAGCATTTGTAAAGTACAATATGAATCGACAAAGCTTGCCTTCTTTCTGTCCCGGAAGATCTAAGTTATCAATTTTGATTGTTTTGAAGGCCCAACAACGTTCTGGGTAAGGTACAGTTTATCTTAAATAATGTATTATTTGCAAATAAGTAGGCCTACTATAGTTTATGACCTATATGTAAGCGTCGCAGGAAGGGCAGGTCACTTACTTAAAATGCATGTTTCCAAAAATACATGTGTGAAGCTGTGCTTTACAAACAGACAGACTGTATGCAACTAACTTAGCTAAAAAAACACATTTCTCCCCGCACAGATGCATTTAAGCGGCCCTGAAAGTGATGTTATTGTGTTATTGGTTTTCTGATAAAATATGCAACAATTTTAATATTAAGAGAACAAACTTGTTTCTAAAAGTGAGCTTAGTATCATTATCTAAATGTTCAAGTGTTGTCTTATACTTGAAGAAACCTGTTTTCTACAGTCTCTTTTTAGCAACTTCGGTACTAGTAATTAAGAAAAGTGTATATTAGGCTACGCTACACCTTCAACAATGCACTTTTTCATCAGAGTA